ATGCTTTTTGAAGTAACAGTAATGATATAATGATTTCTGATCTTTTAAATTCATTTGCTGTCCTCTAACTGCAGCTCCAGAGCACATGCTGTGTCTCCAGAATGGCCGCTATGACCACGCTGACCGAATGTTCAATAGGTAAATTATTTCCCCCGTTGTTTTAAACGTTATAATGGTAAAGTACAGAAATTTGCCAACTGGCTGATTTCTTTGTCATACTTGCATGTTTTAGATCAGGGTGTCAAACTCCAGGCCTCGAGGCCCGGTGTCCTGCAGGTTTTAGATCTCACTCTGGGTCAGCACACCTGAATCAAATGATTAGTTCATTTCCAGGCCTTCTGGAGAACACGTTGAGGAGGTCGTTTAGCCATTTAAATCAGCTGTGTTGGATCAAGGACACAGGTTTAGAGGGGTTTATTTTTGTTTCTTTGTTTGTTTTTTGAAAAATAACATTGTGATTATCTCTGAGACTTTACTCCAAGACAAAAGCTTAACTTTTTTTTTGAAAGGTTTGAGTCTCATTACATCTGATCTAAAACTAACACAGCATTTCATAAAGACAACACCGTGGCAACAGTCAGACACGGTGGTGGTACTTAAGCTCTCTACCAGAAACTGAAGGAGAATGTCCAGTCATCAGTTTGTGCTCTGAAGCTCAAGAGCACTTGGGCTATGATCTGAAACACACCAACAAGTCCCCCTCTGAATGGCTCACATTGTTCGAGATGCTCAGCGTGACCTTCATGCTCAAAAACCCCTCAAATGTGGCTGAATTAAAACAATTCTGCAAAGAAGAGCAAACCGAAGTTCCTCCACAGTGAAAGACTCGTTGCCAGTTGTCACAAAAGCTTGATTGTTGTTCTTGTTGCCAAACGTGGTAACCAGTTATTAGATTTATGGGGCAATTACTTCTTCCTCATTAATAATTATTTATGCATTTCTAAGGGACGATGTACAAAACAATTATTTCATGTGAGAACAACACTGAGAATTACCAGCTGACATTGGCGCAGGTTTAACTACAAGCTACTTTCAACTAGCTTTACCCCAGGCAGGTAAATGTAAACAGAGCTGAGAAGTTAAGCTCACCTTAACTCTGACTAAAATAGTGCTAATCAAAGAAGTTTGACACATAGATGTGCATTTATGTGTGCACACTGATCCAGTTTAATCTTGTGGGAGGAATGGATCCTGGATAGGTGTCCAGCCTATCACAGGGCAAACAGAGAGAAACACTCATTCATGCTCACATTTACATGCACTGTTGTACAGGAACAGCATGCAAACAGAGTTTGCAGTTTGTGAATACTGTGGAAACAAGTTTGAACACGTACAGTGTTTTGTGGTGAAGATGTGAATGTTGTATTTCACACTTTGAAGTCGTGTTTGGTGACGTTGTGGTTTCTTACAGCATAGGTGAGACGTGGAAAAACTGCTTGGAGGGAGCTACTGACTTCAAGGAGGTAAAGCTATTCGTCTATCATCTGGTGTTGATGCTGTTTCTGTCGAGGAATGTCTTTCTTGACATGTTGCTTTTCCTCGTATGTTTGCAGTTGATCCCAGAGTTTTATGGGACAGACCCCAGCTTCCTGGAAAACAGACTGAGTCTGGATTTGGGGAGACGGCAGAATGGAAGTTTAGTTGGTGATGTCGCTCTTCCACCGTGGGCCACAGGTGAACTTCCTGTCGACCGGCTGTCTGTGTGTCTCTGTAATATAAGGAGTCACGTGAAGAAGTAAGGTTTGCTGTTTCTTCCTCCAGATTCCAGTGATTTTCTTCAAAAGCACAAAGCCGCCCTGGAGAGTCAGTTTGTGTCAGAACACCTTCATGAGTGGATTGACTTGGTGTTTGGCTTCAAGCAGAGGGGCAGTGAAGCTGTGGCGGCTCACAACGGTAACATAACCAACAGCTACTCTCAGTACGAGAGGTGTGAAAGCATGCGAACGATTAATATTCATCTCATTGTTTTCCTTTCTAAGTGTTTCACCCACTGACGTATGAGGGCGGGATCGACTGTGACAGGTACAGAAAAGAAAATCCAACGAGAATATTTCCAAATGCTCATCCCGCCTCGTTGGCCTAACGTTTCCCCTCTGTCTGTTTGGCAAGCATTGAGGACACCGATCAGAGAATCGCCATGCTGACACAGATCCTGGAGTTTGGCCAGACGCCCAAACAGCTGTTCACCAGCCCTCACCCTCAGAGGATCACCCCGAGGTTTCAGAACATTACGCGAAGCTCGAGCATCAACTCACCCGACGCTGAGCTATCTCCAGGTAACACCGCACAGCACGGGAAGTGTGTGAGAGCCCTGCAGCTGCAGAGCTTTCTCCTTCATTGTTCAGGCTTAAGTAGCTATTAACACGATGCAACGGCAGCTGTGAGAGCTGAGCAGTGTTTCTAAAGCCCACACAGTTATGTGCTTCACTACTTCTCTCTGGGAGGATGGTGCATGTCTCAGTGAGTGAAGCCAATCAACACAAACACAAGATTAAAAAGAGTCACAAAAAGATGAGTTATTAATTTAATTTTCTGGTTTTACTGAAGAAAATAAGAAAAAGAGTTTCATTTATGCACTTTCGGCTATATTAACGGCATTTTACTGTGTTTTGATATATAAAATGTTTTTCATAACCATAATAAGTTAACATGTAGGTCGGATCCCTGTGTTGTTTTGCAGCCTCTCAGGGCGAGGACTCGTCTTTCGAAGATCTCACCGAGGAGAGCAGGAAGTTGGCCTGGGCAAACATGGAAAGTCTGAAGCCCGTTTCCAGCCACAAGATCCATAAAGAGTGAGTCAGGAGCTGCTCGGTGGGCTGCAGTTACAGCAGAGTACAAATGTAACCACATACAGTAAAAGTGAAAGCCCTGCCTCAAAAATGAGGAAGTGAATTCAAAGAAAGCAGGTAGCAGGCAGCTGCAGGAGCTCCACACCCCTTCAGAAACTTAATACTAGTTTCAGGACTGCTTCCTTCAATAACAGACTGCTGTGTTATTCTAAACAAATTCTTCATTTCATGTGTTTTTTATATATACATGTTTATTTATGTTTTTTAAGTAACTTTGTTTCTGCTGTATGTGCAGAGCTGTGACAGGCATTGCTGTGTCTCGAGGTGGATCTGCTGTTTTCTCCACATCTAAAGGTTTGGAAAATGTCTAGACTGAGAAGAAATGTAGACGACTCAGATCTACTTGGAAACTCATTTGTTTTCTCTTTAATTAAAAAGTTGTTGAGCTAAAAGGTTTAAGAGAATGATGAATTACGGTTTGCTCCGTTCTGTCAGTGCAGACGTGTTTCACACTGACCCCTCTCGCTCTTTATTACAGACTCGACACTTAAAATGTTTTCCAAAGAGCTGAAAGAGTTCCAGAGAAGCATGTCGTTCTCTAACATGGTACGCTCGCCCGTTCAGCATCTCCTTCCTCGGATCTCTTCTCCGAATCTGTTCCATTTCTCTGTAAACAGTAAACCGCTCGACTGTTTTTCAGGCCTTGTCATCGTGTTTGATACTGGCGGACAGTAAAACGGTGGTGTGCTCTTCGTGGGACAACAATGTGTACGGACTGTTTATTCATTATATTTAACGTGGTGGAGTTTTGACGGCTTCTCGCTGACCTGCACGCTCCTCTCTCCCAGGTATTTCTACTCCGTCCCGTATGGCAGGCGGCAGGATACGCTGATGGGTCACGATGACGCTGTCAGTAAAATGTGCTGGTTTGAGGACAAACTCTACACAGCATCCTGGGATTCCACTGTTAAGGTAAAGTATTGTCTCTATAACCCTTTTCAGACATGGGACATGTTACAGTGCTGGACTAATGAATTTACTGAAGGGAGAGAGCTATGCAGTATTTGTCATGTGGACCAGATTGGACAGTACATCACATGATGTATAACACACGAGGTCCCTTTACTAATAAATAAGGAGGCAACATCGTAGACACATCAGACTCACACAAACGGTAAAATGATATCCTGAAAGCTTTCCCTGGACAGGAATGAGAATACTGTTATTGCATCGTAGCTCGCACTCGTGCTGTGATGACAGCTGAGAGTCCGGCCTGGTCAGGCTGCATGATGGCTTTTACGAAAAGGACTCCATGTCAGAGAGAGGATGAACCTTTAGCGTTGTTTTCTGTGTGACCTTCACAGGTGTGGGAATGCAACTCTGACAGCTTTTCCACTCACAAGAGATCCCAGTTTAATTTGCTGGGTGAGTTGGAACATGATGCTGGGGTGAGTGACAAAAGTGCAGCCACAGGTTTCATCAAGATCTTACAAACTTCATGTGGATTTAAATGTATCATAGTAACGCTGTGTGCATCTGTTATTGTTGGAAAAACTCTTGAAAATATGAACATTTTATTTTTAAAACACTGAGACATTTTAGCAGCGTTAAAAACATATTTAATAAAAGCATGTTTGCTCTCTAACATTCAAATTCAGGTGAACACGGTCAGTCTGAACCCAGCTGGGACTTTGCTGGTGTCTGGATGTAAAGATGGGACCGTCACCATCTGGGACACCAGCAGCCAAAGGACTCTGCAGCAGATCCACTGCCACAGTGGGACCATCCACCACACGGCCTTCAGTCCTGGTTTGTGTGAACGTGGAACTTTGAATTTTTTGTTTAACATTTTAGGTGATCAGATCTGCTCGTGGAAGCTTTGAGTAAATAATTCCCTTAAGCTTAATGTTTGTCTCAGTACAGTTAAAGTGCATGTGGAGAGCACTTCTTCAGCTTTCTTTGAAGCGGCTGTTGGCTGCTCGATTCTTCTGTGTGAATCAAACAACTCTTTACTGCTGAGCAGGAAGAATTTCTGTTGAGAAATTACAACTCCCAGACTCGTATGTATTATCCAAAGACATGTAACTGTTTATGTGTGTGATTATCCCGATTTTGCATTCTCAGATAGCCGACACGTTCTCAGTGTTGGAGCAGACTCCTGCATGAAGGTTATCGACGTCCAGACGGGAATGGTGATCTCCTCTGTGAAAGCTGAAGAGGAGCAGAGGTTTTCCTAGCAATCCAGAACTTTGTATTTCACTTGTTTCTTTGTGCTATGTTCAAAGCATTTAGCAGCATGTTTGTGTGTGCAGGTGTTTCTGCTGGGATGGAAACTGGGTGCTGTGTGGGGGCCAGTCTGGTGACCTCCTCCTGTGGGACCTTCTTACCAACACAGTTACCAAGAGGATCCCTGCACACTCAGGTAGAGCTCATCTTCAGTAATCATTGGGTGGAGTTTTTACCCCCGTTTTCAAACTTCTGCTGCTGCTTTGTTTATTGGCTGTAAAACCAGCAACAAGAAGGAAAGAAAATCTGCTACATTTGTGATTTATTTACTGCCAGTTGAACGAATTGGCAGGAATGAATAGACAAATTTACCAGGAACTTCTGCTAATTCATTGTCCTGAATGACCTTGAATCATAACATAAAGTTGTTAGTAAATAACAGAAAATGGTGGGCCGGATTGGAGCCTTTGCTGGTCGATTCTGGGCCCCAGGCCTTATGTTTGACACCCCTGTCTCTAAATTATTGGTCAGATTTCTGTGAAACTTGCACAGAATAAAAAAAACACAGTTCACTAATTTCCACTAAATAGGTAATATTTGATTCAGAAGATGTCACTGGATGCTAATATGTTTGTGCCGCTAATGTAGTAAAACCTTAAAATGTACATGCGTTATAATAAATGTATCAATTAATAACAATATAGGCTAAGGAATATTATACATAAATCCATGTACACACAGGTGCTGTCACAGCCATGTGGATGAGTGAGCTGTGCACCACAGTGATCACAGGTGGAGAGGACCGACAGATGATCTTCTGGAAGCTCCAGAGTTAAAGTTCCACCTCTGTTGGGGAGATAAAAACTCCCAGTGCAATATCCTGGACAACACAGGCCAAGTATCCTGCTGACTGCCTTTGAAAGAGACTCACAAAGGACTTGAGACATGCTGAAAACATACTCTAAATGTGCAGCATCTCAGAGGAGTTGGCTCTGAACTGTTTTTAATCCAAAACCAAGCAACAGGCCACACGCGGTCGTCTTAGTTTTCATTGATGTCTGCATCTTGGGAGAAAATGTCTACTTACAGTTTCATGCATGAGAGACGGAAGCAGAAGTGTACGTGTCTGATTTTTCACTTCAGTTTTTAGCCTGTTATACATACATGTGGACTTTGCCTAAATTTATTAACTGTTAAACATCACGTAGCTAATCTCTTCCTAACCTCCCTCCACTGCTCCGTAAAGGATAAAGCAGGTGTAGTTGGTGGATGGATTGTACCTTGTTTTTAAATAAGCAATCATGTTTCAGTAGCTTTATGTGAATTTTAATTTTGCAGTGGATTTACAGTGTCTGTCAGAGCTTTATGGTGCTCAGGTTTTATTAATAAATCATGGTTGCCTCTAAAACGTCTCCTTTCTTTTGGCTTTTTCTTTTTTTAGGGGTCTCTGAGGATTTGATGAATGAGCTTGACTTATTCTGATTAAACAAACAGCACAGTGTACTTTTATTACACCAATCATCCTGTATTTTGCAATATTTCCACAACAAAAAAGAGTCAAAGTTTAGTAAATGCTCATGCTTTTGGATTTCATGTCAAGAGGAAAGACAACTTGAATCAATATATCAGAGGTATTTTGGTTATTTACAGTGTCAGTGATGTTTGTGGACATCCAACAAACACTGGAGCTAAACCCAGACTACCCAGTAACAAACAGAACCATTCCTATATTGATATTTGATACTCTTGGTCAAAATTCAAATAGACTACAAGTCCAGCAGCTCAGTTAACAGTTTAAAGGTCACTCAGCCAGTAGGTGGCGCTCTTTGCACAGAGAGAATTCCAGTCAGGGATGGAAGAGCTTCGCATCACCCTGAACACCTAATAATGAAACTGAGGATAATTTTTGCCTTTTTCTTTTTTAATATGAAAAGTCGATCATTTGCATGACACAAATTTCAAACAGTTGTCCTCTCCTGTTGTCACAGACGGTTCTGTGTATATTGAGTGTAGGGGAGATTATTATTGCTTTCTGATCATAGCACTTTGCTGCTTCCAGCAGACGTTTGAACTGAAGAGTATCAGGTCACATAAACCGCTGATTCACAACAGCTCTTCTGGTCGCTGTAGACCGGTTCCATTATGGGTCTTTTGGTAGCAATGGAAGAGTAGAAGATACCAACTTTAAAATTGTGACTCTCAATAACACTCCACATCCACTTCCTATTTCGTCTCTTCCATTTTCTGTGGACAAGAAGACAAAGTGAAGACAGGACCCAACCTCACAAATACTTTAGCCATCAGTGCTTTTAAACGGCCTACAGCAGAACACACTTCCCCACATCACGTTTACCTTGAGTTTTCTTATATTTGCAAAGGCTCTGAGTAGCTTGGGCGTTGGTGGCTTTGGTCCAAACAGAGCCAGTCCTTTCTGCTTCTCCTCATTACCTTTAGCAGGTACAGCTCCTTTGGCTTTGACTAGTTTCCTTCACAGTGACAAAAAAAAACCCCACACATTTTTAAAAGGATGCATATTTAAATTTCATTTAACGTAATGATTTGGATGGAGGTTTGGAGGGTATATGATACTTTTAAATTTAAATGAAAATACAGTTCCTGCAGCACTAATAAGCGGCTCACCTGCCCTTCCTGGCCAGCACCTTCTCAGACTCCGGGTAGTGGACGAGGATATCAAACAGGTCTTTCTTCTCCAGCACAAAAAGGTTAGCGAAGCCGTGAGCTTTTACATTGGCTGTGCGCCTGTTTCCTCCATCTTTAGCAGACTGCAGTAAACTGTGGTTGGATAAGCAGACAAAAAACAATATGGCCTACTACTATGGCCAAAATAAAGCAACACAACCACTGCGCAATGTACACAACTTCACAAAAGCAGCATTAAAGACGTGATAAAAACTGCTGGATTTTTTTTCCTTCTTAGATTATCTCCCCCCAAAGTTAACGTGACATCATCGTAACAAAGGTTTCACAGCATCAGCTGTCCTTCCTGATGCTGCACACTTACCTGATTTCCCCAAACACGGAGCCGGCCTTCAGCGTCACAAACACAATGCTGTTGTCGGGTCCTCCCACCACCTGCACCGCTCCACTTTTGATGATGTACATCTCTTTACCGATGTCACCCTGCAGAGGACAGATCAGCGCAGTGACACTCAGCTCAGGTCACCTTGTTGCTTCATGATGATCAGCACAGTTCAGAAATATGTTGCTTGCTACTTTGTAGCCATGTCGTTACCTACAGACATGTATACACATATGTATGCACCAACCTTCTTCACAACAAAGTCTCCGGGTAGATAAATGATTGACTTGAGCCTCAGTAACATGTCCACTAACATCTGCTGGTCACAGCCCTGAAGGACAGAGTGTAGTGAGTACTGCCTTTCACTGAATCACAGAAGCTCTGCTTTGCTTTACTCATCTCTGAAAGCAGCCAGCATAACTTCATTACACTTCACTACAGTTCATTATCCGTCCACTCACACGCCCTTTCTCTAATACACTTTCTATGGCACTAGAGCGCTGAAGCTTAAGCAGCCTCACCTGGAACAATGCAATCTTCTGGAATGTGGCAAGGTTGATGTCCACAGCAATGGCAATTCTCATCACCAGAGGCATCTTGTCCAGCAGCTCGGACTCATCTGAGAAGGACAGACAGTGTGATTCCATGTGAGCACATTCCAGATTTTTAGTCTGTGCATTTTTGCGGCTCATTATTAGTCATGCTTGAACCCTTAAGGAATGGCTGAGTCTTTTTCATTACCTCAGCTGTAACGTCAATTCGTTTCAGCTGCATTTTTTTATATAGCACCAAATCACAACAGCTGTTGTCTCAAGATGCTTTATATTGTAAGGTAAAAACCTCACAATAATACAGAGAAAATTCTTACCAATCAAACAATGCCCTGTGAGCAAGCCCTTGGTGACAGTGAAGTAAACGTTTCCTTTTAACAGGAAGAAATCTCCAGCAGAACCAGGATCAGTGGCCATGACTTGTTTTCTTTTGTTTGTTTGTTTTTATATAGAAATGTATTTGTGTGGATGAATATTCCCTGTTCCCCATTTAAACTCATCAGCTTCTTCCGGCGAGGACACAACTGAGAGGTATACATTTCTCACCCAGCATTCCCTGAGCTGCCCAGGTGTAGTTGTACCAGGTGCGGACTCTGTTCTGGACTAGCTTGGGGATCGTATAGGTGTTCATGTAGGCAACACATCCGTCCATTGACGCCCGGAAGTATGTCTGAGCTGCTGTAGCTGCTCCTATGACATCTCTCATCTGAAAGAAAGAAAGATGTAAAGTGTCACAGAGAAGTCATAGATATTAACAGGTGGAATATTAACATTGAAGAATGTCCTCCTACCTGTCCGATCAAACTCGAGAACACAAAGACACCGATAAAGAAGTTAGCCATCTGAAAGGAAATCTCAAAGGTGGTTACAGGTTCTGGTAAACCCCCGATGTTGATCAGACTGCGAACTGCAAAGTAGTAGCAACGCAGGTACCTGCGCAGGGACAGGAGTGAGAAGACAGGAGTTATCCACAGCTACAGACGGCATGTCGTAAATCTTTTAGTTTACTGGGATCAACAGGAGCATGGTACGCCTTTATGCTGTGTAAAGCTCTAACATGGTCCTAAGAGACAGTCCAAGAACTTTAACCCTTTTATGCATGAATTATAACAACTTCAATCAGAATTTTTTTTATAAGTATTTTTATTCATCTTTAGGTATGAAAAAAAGATTTTTGAACTTCATTTTTTTTAAACATGTCGTTTTTTACATACTTACTTACTGGCTGACCAGTGGGTGGCAGAGTATGTAGTGACACATCAGTGTCCAATGTTTATGTGCAAGTATACCATCAACACTGACACATACAAGAAAACAGCCTTTGAATAGCTGTCCACTGTAGTGACCACTATGCATGAAAGGGTTAAAGAACGGCGTCACCACAGATGAAGATAAAATATAAACATTTTTAAATACAGGAGTATTAAAACAAAACAATACGAGTTCTTTAAACTGAATTCAAAAGTGAGCAATGTCAGTCGGGACTGTAAGTCAGCCGACGTCACTCAGTGAACAAAAGTTATCAAGAGCGAGTCACTCTGTCAGCATCAGTATGGTTAAACTTCCTCAGGAGCGCCGCATTTGATTTGCATAACGCTGAAAATAATTATTAATATCAGAGAGTTTAATCAATCTGCGGTTAATTAATTGACATTATTTAGATTTGCAGCTCCCAGCTAAGATGAATGCCAAAACACAATTCTCAATTAATATTTAAAAAAAGGATAAAGCAGAGCTGGTCTTTGTTCAGGAGGCTCTCTTAGGATACAACAGAGGGCGCTGCTGATTTCCCTAAGCACACGCAGCACGGTAAATAATCATCTTCATCTGCATACTGCATACCAGCAAGCAAAAAACATGTGCATATGTGTCATTAAATAATGAAATAGATTTGGTTTTGGAAACACCAAGTCATAATGTTCTTGGTAACTGATAAAACTTTTGTTTCACCGTGTCACAACATCGCTACATAGACACAGCTTGACTTAGCTTTGTTAAGCTTGCCTTTAAATAGAAGACCCCTGCTTTTTGTTGTTTTAGATTCTTTATACACATCTCTCTCTGAGTTTTAAATTGTTTCATTAAAAGGAAAAATGAAATATTTTCTTATGAAATGACATGTTTCAGTGAACTTCAGAGTACAGTGCAGAACTTTAGGTCCCAAACTGGTGTACATACGCTGTGCCATTCCCGTCATACACCCATGTAGTTGTGGCAAGACCCTGGTGCACTGAGGCAACGTAGTAAGCACAGGCGTTGAGGTGAAGCATGAAGAGCAGGTAGCCTGTGGTGCGGGCAACTCTGTGTCAGAAAGACAGAAATGGTGACGCTAAAGCTACAAAACAGTGACACCATGCGATTCACGAGCAGTCACCTCCAGATGTAAGCTTTGGCCATGACACTCTCAAGTCGATCACTGAACTCAAAGAAGGAATCAATCTAAAACACACAGGGGGGAAAGTAAAGGAACTTATCAGAAAATGTAATGGAAAAAAAGTACAATAAAAAGAAGTTAGCATCCTCCTGCCTACCCTGATGAAGCGGTTCAGTCGGTAAAACGAGGAGAATTCAAAGTACAGGCAGAGCAGGTCGAAGGGGAGGATGCTGAATATATCAGTCTACACGGAACAGAATACAAACATTTGTTAAACTTTGGATTTTGCTGCAAAGCTCACAGATATGAAAGAAGAATAAAAACTGGTTCAGTAAAAATATAAATATAACAATGTAAACTTCTAACTGCAAAAATGTGGATAAAAAACAAATGCAGTGTCATCTATCCATCTATCCAAATCTATATTTTTAATGTTGTACCACTTTATAATATGGTCTGCAAAAAAGGGGGAAATTCCCCAGTAATTGCAAGGAATTTCAGTCTTTTATTTGAAATTGCAATATAATTTTATTTACCTACAAATACAGAGAATAAAGTGGTAATAAGTCAGGTTTGTAGAGAAAACAATGAAATAACTAGATTGTAAGTAAGTGTAAGTACTGTGTGAGTCATTTTAAGAAAGTTTTGCATGACTTCAGGTATTTTACTGGAAAGGAGACATAAAATATTCTGTAAGTTATTTTTATTTATTATGTAATTTCTTCGTAATATTGCACAAAAATAAACAACATTTCCCATTCTTACATTGCAAGTGCACTTTACAGTCTTTATCACACATATATTAGTAAGATAAAAGGACACTTGAAAAACAGAACATCGATCGTGCACAACAACATAATGAATATTAAATAAAGATGTAAAAAGGTAAGATTAATCCACTCTATAATACGACCCACGCCCCCAAAACTACAGCGTTTGTATGATGTAGAAAAAGCGTTTTTCTGCAAACTTACCATGAAATTGGACACAACTTAAAACTGCTTATGCAGTACTTAAATTTACTTAAACTATAATCATTTCTTTAGTTTTTTACACTTTAGTTTTAACTTTCTTGTTCTAGTGTGCCTACCTGTCAATATTTGTAGGTACATTTAATTACAACGTAATACCAAATAAAATACATTAAAATTCCATTTAATTACAGGGGGATTACATCTTTAGTCGCCTTTAGTGTTATAAAGTGTTTAATTTAATTCAAACCATTTAATAAATAGGATTTTATTTATTTATTTATAATATATGCTAATTTCATGCCAGTGCCAGTGCTTGTTGTTTTGGACATTAAGGCAAGCAGCGCCTCCACTCATTTATGGAGTCTTGGATTTGGAATATGTGTATTTTGGCTTTATCTTGCTGAAATAAGAAATAAGTACCACAATTCCTGAAATTATGTTAATCGTGTTATTTTTCAGTTGTTGAACAAAACTGTACTTAACTGGAGTACTTAAGTAAATGTATTTAGTTACTTTACACCACTGGACACGTGTTCTCACCTTAAATTGATGTGATTTTCGATAATGTAGCTTAGTCAAAGCTCTGTCTTTCTGCAAGCAACAGAGGTGCGAAAGTCAATTAGACTATTAAAATGTTATCAGGTACATGTGATTGAGTGGTTTGTGACTTACAATGATGTCTCCAGCTTTGACAAACTGAAGGCGAGGCTGCCAAACAACGATGTCTATTATATTTACAATGTCGCTAAGAATGTCGAGGAATATCCAGTAGCGGTTGACAGTTTCACCGTGGTAAGGGAAAGCCAGCCTGGCGGAGCAAAACCAGATGTTGTAATTGTACGCCAATGCCACGAAGCTCAACCAGGAAATGTACCGACGATCTGGAGAGAGAATGACAGAAATGTCTGTCAAGTATTTAAAGGTAAATAGAAGAAATTCATTGAGCTGTGATGCCTACCTGTGAAAGGATCAATGGTGGTCCCCAAGATGACATCCATTTTTTCCTCCACTGGATGGAAGAGGACGTCAAAGCAGGAGCAGCTGATTTCTGGGAGGATCCTTTCTTTCTTCTTGGCCTCCTCTGCCAGTCTCTCCTCCTCGGCTTTCTTCTCGGCCTCCAACCTTTTCTCCTCATCTTTTTTCTTCTTCTCTTCTGCCTTTTTGGCCGCTTCCTCCGCCTTCTTCTTATCCGCTTCTTCCTTGGCTATGCGCTCCTCTTCCTTCAGTCGGATGTAGTCATCCTTTCTCAGAATA